ACCGTCCTCAACGTTCGGATGTCCCGGTTCCTGTCAGGGATTTTGCTTGGATACCAAAAGCAGACACCCGTCCCCGAACACAACCCTCCCTGCGCAGAGCAGCCCCACTATCAAGTCTAGCCGAAACCTACTTCAACACAAACAGCTTGTGTGCAAAGTTAAACACCGCTCTACGCCCATCCCCTGACTCCATCCCTCCTGCGATGAGAAGCTCTCCACTATGGATTCCAGCAGCTGCTCCTTCCGAAGGGTTCTGCCGTCGCGCCTCTGCGGCACTTCCAACTTCGCGCACAGCTGCCGCAAGTCGGAAGTGTTCTTGGCCTCCAACTCGGTCCGCAACCATGCCGCGCCTCCCTCTCCATGTCCCTCTTGCAGGCGCTGCACCTCTGACTCCTGCAGCCCTGCTGCCTGTATGGGAATTTGCAGGGATATCAGAAGCAGACACCTATTGGACCACAAGACAACAGATTCTCGACTAAGTTAAACGATACACTGCACCCATCCCCTAACACAAATTGGGTATCTTAACAAAGATTGAAAGTCTTATATCTAGATGTCTTTCGCGAAACCGTCCTGAACGTTCGGATCCGACGGTTCCTGTCAGGGACTTTGCATGGATACCAAAAGCAGACACCCATCCCCGAATACAACCCTTCCTGCAAAGCGCAGCTTTCCACTATCGAGTCTAGCCAACACCTACTTCAACACAAACAGCTTGTGTGCAAAGTTCAACACCGCTCTACGCCCATACCCTGACTCCATCCCTCCTGCGATGAGAAGCTCTCCACTATGGATTCCAGCAGCTCCTCCTTCCGAAGGGTTCTGCCGTCGCGCCTCTGCGGCACTTCCAACTTCGCGCACAGCTGCCGCACGTCGGAAGTGCTCTTGGCCTCCAACTCGGTCCGTAACCACGCCGCGCCTCCCTCTCCATGTACCGCTCGCAGGCGCTGCACCTCTGGCTCCTGCTGACCCGCTGCCTCCGCGTTTCGCAGAACTGCGTCCTGCAGAGTGGCCATGGTCCGCGCGCCTCTTGATGAGAAGCTTCTGAGGTGTGTTGAAACTTCTTGCAAGTACATTCTTCACGGCTCTTGCCTTGCTGTACGTTCCCGGCTACAGTCTGTGGAGACTTGCGCGAACTCACTTGGAAATTGCTGCGGTCTCTCTGCTTGAGCCACGAACACGAAACCAAACGTGCCTAAGATCTACAGCACCAAAGACCTGCGAAAGAATTTCATAAACATCTGCTTTATGCTGGCTTTGCCTCCTATCTATACATACATATATACATCTATACAAGAATACTATGGCAGCCAGCGCGCTGGCTTTGCCATCTAGATTATGGGAGCCAGCTCACTGGCTTTCCCACTCCACTATGATGGCAGCCAGCGTGCTGGCTCATACCCACTTCAACTATGATGGCAGCCAGCGTGCTGGCTTTGCCATCTGGACAATGGCAGCCAGCGTGCTGGCTTACCCACTTCAACTATGATGGTAGCCAGCGTGCTGGCTTTGCCATCTCAACAATGGCAGCCAGCGTGCTGGCTTACCCACTTCAACTATGATGGTAGCCAGCGTGCTAGCTCATACACACTTCAACTATGATGGCAGCCAGCGTGCTGGCTTTGCCATCTGGACAATGGCGGCCAGCGTGCTGGCTTACCCACTTCAACTATGATGCTAGCCAGCGTGCTGGCTTTGCCATCTCAACAATGGCAGCCAGCGTGCTGGCTTACCCACTTCAACTATGATGGTAGCCAACGTGCTGGCTTTCCATCTGGACAATGGCAGCCAGCAAGCTGGCTTCCACTGCCTGTTGTCAAAGGCACGTGTTAGTTGTACTACCAAGTCGCCAGTTCTCATCTTCCAGCGCCCCAGCTACTCCGCGCACTACAGTTATATACTACACCGTCGCCAGTTCGCAGCTACTACCCACTCGCCAGTTCTCCTCTTCCCATTTCCCAGCTACTCTCCATACTAAAGTTGTACTACCCAGTCGCCAGTTCTCATCTTCCCAGTCCCCAGCTACTTTGCGTACTAAAGTTGTACTACCAGGTCGCCAGTTCTCATCTTCCAGCTCCCCACCTACTCCGCATACTAAGGTTGTACTACACAGTCGCCAGTTCTCAGCTACTACCCACTCACCAGCTCTCATCTTCCCACTCCCCAGCTACTCTGCGTTCTACTGTTGTACTACCAAGTCGCCACTGCTCATCTTCCAGCTCCCCCGCGACTCCGCGCACTACTAAAGTTGTACTACACAGTCGCCAGTTCTCAGCTGCTACCCACTCACCAGTTCTCATCTTCGCACTCCCCAGCTACTCTGCGTACTAAAGTTGTACTATCAGGTCGCCAGTTCTCATCTTCCAGCTCCCCACCTACTCCGCATACTAAGGTTGTACTACACAGTCGCCAGTTCTCAGCTACTACCCAATCACCAGTTCTCATCTTCCCACTCCCCAGCTACTCTGCGTACTACTGTTGTACTACCAAGTCGCCACTTCTCATCTTCCAGCTCCCCCGCGACTCCGCGCACTACTAAAGTTGTACTACACAGTCGCCAGTTCTCAGCTACTACCCACTCACCAGTTCTCATCTTCCCACTCCCCAGCTACTCTGCGTACTAAAGTTGTACTACCAAGTCGCCACTTCTCATCTTCCAGCTCCTCCGCTACTCCGCGCACTACAGTTGCGCTGTAAAGTCGCCCCTTCGCAGCTACTACCCACTCACCAATTCTCATCTTCCCACTCCCCAGCTACTCTGCGTACTAAAGTTGCACTGCCAAGTCGCCAGTTCTCCTCTTCCCACTCCCGGCTGCTCTGCGTCCTAAATTTGTACTACCAAGTCGCCAGCTCTCATCTTCCAGCTCCCCAGCCACTCCTCGTACTAAAGTTGTACTACAAAGTCGCGAGTTCTCAGCTACTACCCACTCATCAGTTCTCATCTTCCCACTCCCCAGCTACTCTGCGTGCTAAGTTGTACGCCGGCAAATCGCACTCTCGCGTGCATTTCGCGCGCTCGAAACGCACGATCTACGCAGAGGGTTGCGAGGGCAGCCGGCAAATCGCCCTCTCGCCTGCATTTCGCGCACTCGACACGCACGATCTCCGCAGAGG